CCATGGCAGAGGCACCCAGAGACATAGTGTGCAGACTGCATTACTACTCTATTAAAGAAGACATACTCAGAAATCTCCGCCAGATGACACAACCGCTGCTATTCCATGAGATACCTGTGCAAATCTTCCCAGATCTCTCCTGGATGACGCTGCAGGCGAGGAGGACAATGAAACCCCTCACAGACCTACTGCGCTCTAGGAACATAAGATACCGCTGGGGATTCCCTCTGGCCCTTACTGCCACGCACAATGGTACAACAGCAACTCTATCCTCAGCAGAGGACGTGCGGGTCTTCACCTCGGCCCTAGACCTACCGGACATATACATACCAGACTGGTATGGGCCGCTACAACCCCCAAATCGCTCGCAGATGACCCACAAGCAAAGAGGGCAGACACCATCCAAACGCAGAAGCAACGACCAAACGCACCACCAAGGAGGTCCCAGACCGAGAGCAGGCCCCCCGGCTCTTCGATGGGACCCAAGGCACATGACGACGACCACCAACTAAGAAATCACTGCCCCAATCGACAAGGACCCAACTAAGGTCCAGAGATCTATAACGACCACTAATAATCCAGAAATCCACCCACAGAGACTGCATCTCAAGGCCCCACCCTAGGGACACAATACCTGAGCATCACAAGAAAACATACAAATCAGGACATCTCCCACGACAACCTAGACTTGCTTCGGTCCGCGAGCTCTATGAAAAGGAGACTCTCCACTCTACCGACACTCCTAGATGACACTGGTTCTGGACTGAAAGACCACATACTGTCAGCAGGGAAGAGGACACACAGAAACATGAGGCAATGGCACTCCGGAGGGGTATGAGAGGAAAAATAAAAAATAAAAATAATAATAAATATGTATGTTTTACCGTAAATGAATGTATATGTACAGGCTCTGCTGACAAGCATAAGGCCTCCCCTCACCCCCTAAATCACCCCAGCCCCCCCTCCCCCTTTAGCCTAATAATCTACCACTCTCATAAAGACACTGAGTGGCATCTCGGGTATCGGTATACCACTCCCACTCCCCTGTCCCCTTCCCCACTCCCTCACTACTAACCCCTCCTCCCCTTGGCAACAACCTCAAGGAATGCCCCTGAGGTCAATTGAGATCTGATTGATTGTCTTACCGGGAAATGTATACCATGATATGTCAATTAATGGATGGTTTTCTAATTAATGTTCTTTGGGAGAGCTGCAAATGTTATGGGAATAATATTTGTCTCACTCTACACTTCTTATGCACACCCGAGCAAGCAATTGAGATGCAAGCCTCCTCCAACTACGAGGCAGAGCCCCTGCCCAAGAGGATGCATAAAGCCTACCCCTAGACTATTAGGCAACCCACTAGAGGTAAGCAGCCTCCAGCCCCCCCCCTTTTTTCTGGATCATATCCTCTACAATCGACCTGCTCCACAAACACACAATCTTACCTGTCCCACTAATTTGATCCCCTTGCCTGATCCACTACTCACTACTGACAACTATCCATAGGATTGCCCGTCTCTGGCGAGACATTTAATAACAACACCCCAACCTACCACATCCCACGAAAATAAAACCTCGATAGCAGGTGGAAAGACTTGAGCGGCCAAAGCGGTGCACGTGCAACTCCCCAAAGGCCCTAAAGCCTCTCAAGGGGAAAGCCACCGACAGACAAGGCTGCCAACCCTTTCCGTCAACACCAAACATCTCAATTTCTTGCTCCACCTGCCTACACACAATTTTGTACATAGTTCATTTGTTATCGGTTATCTTCCCCTGGTACACAATACGTGAACGACAGATCACACAGTTCACACAATTTCCATCATGGCAAACCTCAACATAGTTACCCTCAACGTCAGGGGTCTAAACTCCCCGACAAAAAGAGCACTAACGCTACACGAACTCCACAAACTTAGAGCTGATGTGGCATTTCTTCAGGAGACCCACCTAAAAGCAGACTCCACCATCACTATTCGCAACAGACACTACCCCACAGGATATTTCAGCTCCTACACGGACGCAAAATCCAGAGGAGTAGCCATCCTCATAGGGGCACAAACACCATATACCCACACGTACCAATACACAGATCCAAACGGTAGGCTGCTCATAATTAAAGGCAAAATTGGCAATACAATTGTAACTTTCGCAAATATCTACCTGCCAAATACCAAACAACACAAGCACCTACGCAAATACCTCAACATAATCGAAAAACATGTCGAAGGCATTCTTATACTCGGAGGTGACCTAAACATGTCCCTTGACTCGGAATTAGACACTACTTCTAGCTCCACGACATACAACGCCGCTACCAGAACCACGATGTCCAGACTATTAGACAAATCTTATTTATTCGACTGCTGGAGAACCATACACCCACAAAGACGAGACTACTCTTTTTATTCAACGGTCAAACACACATACTCTCGTCTGGACATGCTATTTGTTCCTCACAGACATATACACTTAATTCAATCATGTGAGTATGGCTTGATCACATGGTCGGACCATGCCCCCTTGTCTCTAGTTTTTCAAATCCCAACTCTGACACCCAACAACTTCCAATGGAAACTAAATGACACCATGCTGAATGACACAGCCACGGTCGATACACTAACAACCACACTACAACACTACTTTGAGGAAAATACATCCCCGTCCATATCCCCGACAATAACCTGGGAAGCTCATAAATCAGTAATGAGAGGACACATCATAGCTATAGCCTCCAAACTCAAGAAAAAGAAAGATGCCCAAATCACTGATCTCCTGCGAGATATCCGCCTAATTGAACAGACACACAAACACAACCTCTCCCTAGACCTCTATAAACAACTAGTTGACAAACGCACAACCCTACAAACCCTGTTAAATTCCAAAATCAAACGATCACTCACTCACACCAAATATTCATTTTACACTCAAGGAGGAAAATGCGGGCGAATGCTAGCCAAAGCCCTTCAGCAAAACACGCAACGCACATACATAACCACGATCAAAAGCAAAGACTCACCTACTCCCAGCCATACTTAAAGAATTCCACGCCTTCTACACAAACCTGTACAACCTCAGACAGACGCCACCACGACCAGAGGAAATTACCCATTTCCTCTCTAACAGAATCACGCAAACGATCCCCACAAACGTAAGACAATCCATTGAAGGACCCCTAACAGACGAAGAATTTAGACTGGTAGTTAAAAACCTCCCCATAGGCAAAAGCCCAGGACCGACGGCTTCACTACCAAATACTTCAAAACATTCACAAATCAGCTCTGCAAACCCTTTGTCACTGCCTTCAATTCACTGGCTTTAGGACACAAACTCCCAGTAGAATCCTTAGAAGCCCACATCACATTGATCCCCAAACCCGGAAAGGACCTAGAGGAGTGTGGGAGCTACCGCCCAATCTCTCTTATAAATTGTGATTTGAAAATCTTCACTAAGATTCTTGCCAACCGGCTGAAACCACTCCTGAACGGACTGATACACCCGGATCAATCAGGGTTTGTACCGAATAGGGAGGCCAAACATAACACTACGAAACTCCTAAGCCTGATACACACAGCCAAAGGAAAAGGACCCCAGAGCCTCATTTTAACTATAGATGCCGAGAAGGCATTTGATAGGGTAGACTGGTCCTTCCTCATGGCCACAATGAAAACTCTGGGCTTCGGCCAACAATGGATACAATGGCTCGCAGCCATATATTCAAAACCGGGAGCAAAAGTGCGTGTGAACGGCCAATTGTCAGATACCGTACAAATAACCAATGGTACTAGGCAAGGCTGTCCCCTCTCCCCACTACTCTTCATCCTCACCATGGAGCCATTCCTACAAGGAATAAGAGACAACCCAAACATATCTGGCATTAAAATAGCAGAGCAGGAATACAAGGTCTCCGCTTTTGCGGACGACCTACTGTTCACCCTATCTAATCCAAAAACATCCCTACAACACCTTATACAAGAGATAGAGGCATATAATGCAGTCTCCAATTACAAAATAAACATGGGCAAGAGCGAGATACTCCCGCTCAACATACCGAACGCCACACAAACAGCGCTCCGCGTCACCTATCCATTCCACTGGCCCACAGAGTCAATTAGATATCTGGGAGTCCAACTCACAACCACACTGTCACGCCTATACGCCCTTAACTACACAACCCTTCTAAACAAAGTAGATACCGAACTCAAATCGTGGAATAAACCACAATTCGGTTGGCTATGCAGAATCCACATCTTAAAGATGATGATTCTCCCCAAGTTTCTATATATAATGCAAACCTTGCCTATTAAAATACCAAGGCCTTTCTTCTCCCTCTCCAGGCGACTATTCAACAACTTTATATGGTCAGGTAGACCCCCGAGGCTACAATACGAATGCCTCACAAAAAGCAAACAACGAGGAGGACTAGGCCTACCAGATCTGGAAACATACCACAAAGCCATTATCCTCACGAGGATTTATGAATGGTCATACCCTAAAAACACAGCCCAATGGGTACAGATTGAGGCCAGCTTTCTCGCGACACCGATATATGCCATACCCTGGCTCGCTAACAAGACCGACACGAAAACGCGCTCAGGGACCTCTCACCCCACAATCACACACACAGTGAAACTTTGGTCGACCATTAGGAGAGACAAACACCTAGCACCACATCCATCACCACTCTACCCACTAACGGGAAACCCCTCCTTCCCCCCAGGCATGGACCACAGGGCGTTTAGAAACTTCCCCAAACAAGCTCATACACTGACTTTGGGAGATGTCCTAACGGACCAGGGGGTCACTCCCTTTGAACAACTACTACCCACTGAATCGCAAACGGGAATGACGCGACTGAGACACGAGCAACTCAAACACTTTCTAAGCACAAATCCACCACTATCACAAGGCCATAGAACCCACACTCTATACGAGACCCAATGCGCACAACACAGCATCCGGAGGGGCCACATATCCTCCTTCTATAAACAATTATGCCGAAGAAAGGACGAACTCCTACCTACCTATACATCCAAGTGGGAAACAGGGCTGGGGATACAAATACAAACCAAAGAGTGGTATAAAATATTCGCCAATGTCTTCCGCACATCCAAAAGCAACAGCACACACGAGAGCAATTACAAACGAATAGCCAGATGGCACTACACACCATCCCGCATCCACAGATTCTTCCCAAACGCACCAAACACATGCTGGAGGTGCAAGAAAGCAGAGGGAACCACAAGCCACATCTGGTGGCAATGCCCAATAATAAGTAAATTCTGGGCCCAGATAACGAACGTTATTCGCACCATCACGGGACACAAACTACCCCAAGACCCTAAAGTCTTGTTATTTTTAATGTACCCCAGCCCCCTACCCAAACACTCACGCACACTGATCAACCACCTGTTAACGGCAGCAAACGACATCATCCCAACCAAATGGAAGCAAACTGCACCCCCTACGATCAGAGCCTGGATAGAAAGGGTAGACGCTATCAGAGAAATGGAGGAGCTAGCGTACTCCTTTTCACTCAAATACCACGACTACACGGCCACTTGGGAACCATGGTTAACTTTCATACGTAACACTCCTCCACAAGGGCTATAGACCCACATACCCAAACAGACAAATCTACCACAACGCAACAATCCACACTGACGAGGTTCTACGCCACGATGGTACATACTAGCTATACCAGGAAAGTTCATCACCCACCCCAATGTACTGTTATGTTATGTTATATTATGTTTTGATTTCTACCTGTATGTTAATAACACAACACCCATGCAAAGTGAACAACGACTAAAATCAAACCGCACTCGAGTACTCTGTCCAGGGGTACCGCACACAAACGAATGCTAAAACGTAACGTGCTCGAACAGTTACCACAACCGTTCTGGACTCTCAAGCATGGTAACAATGTATAACATACAAAAGTTCGTTGATACCAAATTGTATACTGCAAAACAGATGTTGTAATCTTGCATTATTACCCAATAAAAATTTGAAAAAAAAAAAAAAAGAAAAGTAAAGTATGATACCGCTAAGAGTGAAGGAATTGCTAAGCTATCCAAATAGAGCTCATATGGACAAATATACTTGCTAGTATGGTAGCTATATATTTAGTAGTAAATGCATAAAGCGCAATCCCCCCAGGAAAGAAAAATTGTTGTTATCGATAGTGGTAAAATACAGCTCGGGATCCGAGACATACAACTAAATTATAGAATGAGATGGAGTGAATAATGTGTCTCAAGTTCTCCGAAAGCCCCTGACGTGCGCGTTTCGCCCACAGCTCATCAGAGGGGAACCAATGTGCGGGAAGAAACCGAAGTTAAAAATAGAATGACAGTTCATCATTGGTGGATTCAAATGTCGTCATCTTGGGATTGGCCAATTACAATCATATCTATGGATGATGTCATTGGCCTCTCGGAGTTAACACAATGAGTGATACAGGTGATTTTTAACCCTTAGGAGTCCTGTTGAGCGACCCGAGAGAAATTATAATTCATGATTTAGAGACTATATGGAGAATGATATTGTGAATCAAAAGATAAGATAAAAAGAAAGTATATAGATAGAAGAGAAAATCTTTGGCTCAAAGCCTTCAGCAGTACATATGTATAAAAATTTGTTTTCGTACACACACTCAGCATTGATCGTAAAAAGTGATGTTTCAGTGGTACATATGTACCTTGTTTTCGTACAGACACTGAATATTAATCGTTGAGATTAATGTGGAAATATAAATCCCGGACTCGTAAATGTCCGGCAGCACTAATAGCTGGTAATGAGTGCTGAAATGTAATTGTAGCATACGATCTATATACCTAGTTAGTGGTCCCAATAAGTTTAGAATAGTTCTAGTATATTAGAAATAAACGGCCTGAGTAGATGGAACTTGATGTATCTAAATCCTACTCCTGAGTTTAATCATAAATGTAGCAGTATCTTTAACTAGTTAGAAATCTAGTAATGTGTACTTGCTACTTAAAAAACTTAACTGAAATAATTGAAGCAGCCTGATTCTAGGTGTTGTGCGACCTGAATTCATTTGGGGATATTATTATACATTATGAAGGTAAGAGAACCTAGGTGATTAATTATGCCCATGATACGTTACTTCAGTGTTACATAAAAGTATTATAACATTGAAAGTAATAGATTATAAATAGGATGGGTTGATAGATCTTGGTTAGATAATAAATATATCGGGGCGATATGATGACATGAATCCCAGACTATCAAATGTCCGGCGATATGAGTGACTAACAATGAGTGCTAATAAGTGATTATGATATTTAGACTCTGAACCCAGATAATTATCCTCATATATTTGTGGATATTAATGGTCCAAATATGTTGGAAAAAGAGAACCTTGGTTCTTAAAGGAACACTATAGTCACCTAAATTACTTTAGTTAAATAAAACGGTTTTAGTGTATAGATCATTCCCCTGCAATTTCACTGCTTAATTCACTATCATTTAGGAGTTAAATCACTTTGTTTCTGTTTATGCATCCCTAGCCACACCTCCCCTGGCTATGATTGACAGAGCCTGCATGAAAAAAAACTGGTTTTACTTTCAAACAGATGTAATTTACCTTAAATAATTGTATCTCAATCTCTAAATTGAACTTTAATCACATACAGGAGACTCTTGCAGGGTCTAGCAAGCTAAAGGGATAAGAAAATCTTAATTAGAGAGAACTTAAAGAGAACTTGCAATAAAGAAAGCCTAAATAGGGCTCTCTTTACAGGAAGTGTTTATGGAAGGCTGTACAAGTCACATGCAGGGAGGTGTGACTAGGGTTCATAAATAAAGGGATTTAACTCCTAAAGGGCAGAGGATTGAGCAGTGAGGCTGCAGGGGCATGTTCTATACACCAAAACTGCTTCTTTAAGCTAAAGTTGTTCAGGTGACTATAGTGTCCCTTTAAGTATATTTGAAAATATTGTTATTTGTCAAAAAAAGTAAATAGTATAGGTGATTAGTTGTGCTCACAACATAAGTGAGTAAATGAATCTCTGCTAGAAGACCGTATAATTGCTCATATTTCCTGTTGGAAATGTGTTTATGGGTACTAATTGCATAATCAACTTATGCCTGAACAATTATTTTGGATTCATTGTAGGTATCTAGAGTTGCTTCGTTAAGAAGTATATCTGTAAAAATCTTAAGTTAAGAGTGTCTTATTTTCGCCACTGGAGGGACTGCAAGAATCCCATTGTGTTATAATAGTGGGACCTAGACAACGTACCCTCCACACTCCCCAGATGAGAGACTCAATTGTATAGGTGGCTAAGTGAAGGCCAGTATTTTGCTGGAAGGCCACGAGATTATGTTATTATACAATGATAGAAGAGGATCTAAAAATATCCTACAAAGATTGGCATATAAATGGGGATGATTGGTAGTACTGAGTACGTTGATATCATAGGTATAGCAAATTCTTCATATATTAGGGCTATGTTAAGAATGATTATATCATGGACAATTCAATGTTAGTGTATGAAGGAGGTGAAACTGAACTCCCCATTGAGGTCATTGGGTGTCAGAGTTTGAAACTCATGGATCCATCTAGATTCTTTCTGTAAGAGTATCAGATTGAAATTACCCTTTCTAGAATTAAGGATGACTCTTTCAATGGCTTGAAATGACAAATGATTGGCATTTCCATCATGAAAGTTACGAACATGATTCGCAACTGGGGTGGTTAAGTTTGGATTTTTAACAGAATTAAGGTGCTGTAGAATACGTCTCCTAAATTCTTGGTAAGTCTTACCAATATATTGCATTCTACATGTGCAGGTTATAACATAGATGACTTACGTGGTGCTACAATTAATGAAATGGTTAATTCTGAATTCTTTCTTGGTTTTCTCACATTTCTCTATTTTACAGACTTTAATAAATGGACAGGCCTTGCAGTGTCCACATCTGTGAATCCCCAATGGTGCTGTGAGCCAATTTTTTGGAGGTGGTTTTCTTTCTAGATGGCTATGCACCAGTAGGTCACGAAGATCCCTAGACCTAGGCGCTGTGATGTTTGGATAGGCAATTGATTGAGGATTCAGATCAGTGTCGTATTGTAAAATGGGCCAATGTTGAGTGAAAATTTCCTTGATTGGTTGCCATTGTTTGTCAAAAGTGCCTATACATCTGATCATTTGATTGATAGGAGTGGGTCTGGTTGACCGTAGGCTGTTACTCCTAGCTTGATTTAGTGCTCTCTGAAATGCTTTCTTTAGGAGTCTGTTAGGATACCCCTTGTTTTTAAATCTGATTTTCAATTTGTTTGCCTCAGCTATGAAAGACTCATCATTGGCGCAATTTCTCCTGGCCCCCAAGTACTGCCCATACGGTATCCCTGCTTTGAGACGATATGGATGGAAACTTCGCCAATGTAGGAGGCTGTTTGATGCGGTACTTTTTCTAAATAATTCGGTATCAACCGTACCATCCATATTCAATAGAATTCGAAGGTCTAGGAATTCTAGTTGTGATTCGTGGATAACATATGTAAGTTTCAATCCAATCTGATTGTTATTTAAATCTTCTACCATATCCGTAAAGTTAATGCATGAGCTAGTATAAATAGATGTATTGATGGTACTTGTTTAAGGTGATGTCTTTGCGAATGGTTTCCTCCCACCACCCAAGATATAAATTTGCATAGCTCGGGGCACAATCCGTGCCCATTGCTGTGCCCCATAGTTGGAGGTAGTAGGTGCCGTCAAAGAAAGTAATTGTGAGTTAGGATGAATTCCAGTAAAGATAATATCAATGCAATTTGTTCCGAGCTGTACTTGGTGGTTTTATGAAGGAAGTAAGAAGTAGCACTCAACCCCTTTTCATGGGGTACAAGGATACGATGTCTAGACTTGCAAGAAGTGTGTACGGAGGGACTACCAGATTTTCAAGAGTCAGGAGGGTTTGCTTTGTATCCTGAACGTAGGAGTCTAAATTAGTCACAAATGGGTGAAGAAGTTTTTCTAAAAATTTGCTGGCATTTTCAGTCAGAGAATTATTTCCAGAAACGATTGGTCTTCCTGGGGGGGTTATTGAGGCACTTATGGACTTTTGGGAGACAGTAGAACGTATTCTTCTTTTTTAATTACATCACTTTCAAGTGCCTGAGTGAGAAGAGTTCTAAGTTTGGTAAGAAATTAAATGGTGGGATCTTGGGGTAGTGCTTTATATTGAGAAGTATCCCTGAGGTGTACCATGCACATTTCAACATAGATTTCTTGATCCATTATCACAATGTTGCCTCTTTGTCCGAAAGTTTTATGACTAGGTCATTATTGTCTCTAAGGTCCCTAAGTGCTTCTCGTTCACCCTTTGTCAGATTATCCTCATATTTATCTGGAGGTGGAAGTGACTGTCCAAATAGATTTTGTCATCATTTGGACAAATAGGTCCACGCTGGACACTTCCTTGAAGTTAGGAGTGTACCCAGGGCCGGATTAAGAGCACACTGGGCCTGGTGCTGACAAATATGATGGGCCTAATTACGGAATCTTATCGACCAAAAACACTAAAACAGTCATACCTCCCAAGCGTCATGTATCTGATGGAGATAGTGCTGGAGGGAAACTCATAGGATGCAGCTATAGGAAAACACATGCTCTATGCTAATCTCTCTCTAATTTATGCTTTCATCTTTCAAGTAAATCCATAACCACTAACAGCAGTGTCCACTGAAGCAGGAAGTCAATGGGTGGGGTAAAAGGGTGAGCCACTGGTGCGAATCACGTGACAAGACCTGCCAAAAGGGGAGAACATGCCCAAAAAGGGGGCATGTCTGTCCAAAGAATTGGAAGGACAGCCTGGCATGAATGTATGTCAGGCTGCCCGCCAATCCTGCAGGCTGTCCAACTAAGGGCATACTATGCAGGCAGCACCATGAGCTTGACATAAATGCATCTAATGATGCGCTCACTCCGTGCTTTCTAAGGACTGTCCCCTAGCACTCGCTGGTCCACTTGTCTCCTTGCCTTCTTACTAGCAGGCAGAAGTTCCTGGTATATAGTCTGAGACAAAGAAAAGGTGTATGTAGTGAGTGTGGAAGAAAGGGGACATGCCACAGTGTTAGAGAGTCTGCATTACCTAAACGAATTTTATTGTCAGCTAGTCCACACAAGTTTTGTTCCCATACATCCCTCTTAAGCTTCCAAACGTAAAGGGACACTATAGTCACCAGAACAACTACAGCTTATTGCATTTGTTCTGGTAAGTAGAATCATTCCATTCAGGCCTTTTGCATTAAACACTGTCTTTTCAGAGAAAATAACTCCACTGGCCACTCCTTAGATGGCTGCTAGAGGTGCTTCCTGGGGCAGTACTGCCTAGTGTGCAGCACTGCCATTCAGTGTCTCCACCCTCTGCATGCAGACACTGAACTTTCCTCATAGAGATACATTGATTCAAATTATCTTAATGAGGAGATGCTGATTGGCCAGGGCTATGTTGGACTTGTGCTGGCTCTGCCCCTGATCTGCCTAGTTGACAGTCTCAGCTAATCCTATGGGGAAGTATTGTAATTTGCTCAGACCACCACTTCTGATGATGTCAGCAGACAGTCAATTCAGAGGCAGAGCCAGCAGCTGCAGACTTGAATACAAGTTATATTTTACTATACTTAGGGCGGCAAGAAGGGGCCAGGGTGTTGGTTTTTACATAATCGGGTCAGAAATACATGATTGTGTTCCTGACCCTATAGTGCTCCTTTAAGCAAGAGTATGTGAAGAGTAGTTAGGGTTGCCACCTTTCTTGGAAAAAAATACCAGCCTTAATCATTTGTATAATCACAAGGAGTGACATCAGAGAAAATTCTGTAAAATCACCAACAAATTACTCACAGTTTGATTCTGTTGTATAGATGGATTGCTCCCAGTGTCTCAGTCTCGCAGTCACCCAGTGTCTCAGTGTCCCTATGTATCACAGTGTCAGTGTCCCCATGTCGCCCGGTCCCCTAGTCTCCCAGTGTCTCAGTGTCCCCATTTCTCCCAGTGTCCCAATGTCTCACTGTGTCCCAATGTCTCAGTGTGTCCCCATGTCACTAGGATACTGGGGACACAGTGAGACATGGGGACACAGAGACCCGGAGACATGGGGACATGGGGACACTGAGACATTTAGGGAAACTGGGAGAAATGGGGACACAGACACTGGGAGACATTGGGACACTGAAACATTTGGGGACACTAAGACACTAGGGACACAGAGACATGGGAACACAGACACTGGGAGACTAGGGGACACTGGGAGACATGGGGACACTGGCTGGAAGACAGACACTTGGGGACACTGGGAGACATGGGGACAGTTGTGGACATAGACATGAGGACACTGGGACATATAGGGACACTGCGACACATGGGGACACTAGGCACACTGAGAGACACGGGACACAGACACTGGGAGACTTAGGGACACTAGCGACACTGGATGGGGTACATGGGGACACTGGGAGAAATGGGAACATAGTGTCTCCGTGTCCCAATGTCTCAGTGTCTCCCAATATTCCCATGTGTCCCAGTGTCCCTTAGTGTCTCAGTGTCCCCATGTTTTCCAGTGTCCCCAAGTGTCTGTGTTTCCAGGTCTCCCAGTATCTGTGTCCCCATGTATCCTAGTGTCTCAGTGTCCCCTAGTGTCTGTGTCCCCATGTGTCCCCTAGAGTCTGTGTCCCCTAGTGTCTCAGTGTCCCCATATGTCCCCTAGTGTCTCAGTGTCCCCTAATGTCTCAGTGTCCACATGTGTCCCCTAGTGTCTCAGTGTCCCCATCCCTCATTTACCTGATCTGTAGAGCTGCTGTCTGGACTCTGTGCTGTGTTGCTGCTCCCCCACAGATCAGTAAGTAGTAGAGAGAGGCAGGGATATGCTGTAACTTCCTCTCCCTGCCTCTCTCCACACACAGTGACCCCTACTGGCTGGTGCTGGTATTGCAGAGTAATCTCTATTTATTCTGAGAAAAATACCTGCATTTGTATTGCCGGTATTACTGCAATACCGGCACGGCCAGGCAGCCTCAAATACCGGCTGTGCCAGTAAAATACCAGTCAGGTGGCAAACCTAAGAGTAGTGTGTAAAAAAAAAAAAAATGGGCCTATTCCATGGGCCTGGGCCTGGGCCTGGAGCTGCAGTTCCATCAGCCCCTATGTTAATCCGGCCCTGAGTGTACCAACAATCAGTAAAGGGTTTCTTGTCATCTTGTTCATCTAAGAGGGATACCATGCTTTGTAGATGTTGATGGTCTTCATATGTTAGACCCAGTTCTTTCGCTTGTTTGTTCTCTTTTCTTTTGTGGGTGACACTGAGGGCAAGTTTGCGCCCAAACAAGTTGGTGTCTTTTACCCAGTCAAATTTATTGGTGGTTGGAGAGGGAACAAATGATAGACCCTTACTTAACAAAGTTTTGTGCTTGTTTTCAAGGTTAATAGAGGAGAGGTTTATAATTCAATTGTCTTCCATATCGTTATGATTTATTGTTCATTGTAACCTCCTTTGTTGTGTTTGTACCCCCATCTTGTTTTGTCCCTGAGTTTGCCTCTCTGGGGCAGAGGCCACTCTTGTTCTAAAAAAGAAGGTCGTATTTGGGAAGATGTGGAGGGAGTTGGTAAATTATTAGTGGTAGTAGGGGGATTAGTGTGTTATGTATCTGGAAAGGAAACATTCCTCTCTGTAGATTTTAGTATCCCCTTGCTACCCTGTTGGTTATAATTTGTGGTCCTTGTCATGCTTCTGCCACGTCTCCGTGGGCTCGAGTCAGAATCTGACCAATCGTTGTCGCCTAATGTAGAGTTATGTCTGCTGTTCCACCTTTTTCTAATGTTGTTTCTCTGTCTAAAGATCGTGCCTTCCTTGAAATCTCTGTAGTCACATTGGAATTTTAGGTGTTTTTTCTCTCTGATATGTTTCCTAAAACTTTCTAAAATTATTATTGAGCTTTGTCTCCATTGGTTTAAACTCCGAATGTGTTTGAAAAGTTTTTATGTTATTGATTTCTGCTTGTAGGTTTTGATTTACCATTTCCAAGTGAGATTCTTCTAGTTTAATTAAAAATTCCATAAGTCTAATCGAATTGTCTATCAGGATATCATTCCATTCCTTGATTTGTATATCAGTTTTGACCTTGTCTGGTCTTGGAATGTCAGATCTTTTTCCTCAACATATTTTCGTAGACTAATGACTTCCCAGTGACCCTTGATTTGTTGTTTGTACAGATTTTGTATATCAAAAAAGCTTTCATTTAATTTCCGTGGTATTCTGTTTAATTAATGGGTCAAGGGAAAAGACATTATTAATGTCACTGGTACTCAGATCTGGGTTGATGACGTTAGTTAAATATGAGGTCATTTTGTATAGTTAGTGTTATTGAATTGTGTAGCTTCCTAAAACAATAGGTATTGAAACCTTATATAACTGAAAAAACCAACCTGAAGAATGGAAGCTAGAGGAGCACTAGTATAAGGGGTTAACCCATAAAATGGAGAAATGGTTAAAAGGAGAAAACGTGAGTTCCCTGAATACATTAAAACATAACCTTTAATAGTAGTAATAAAACCTAGCATGGGTGTCCATAATAAGAAAAATACTATATAATAATAATAATACACTAAAGTACATGCACACTCTGATAGGTGACTGTACAAAATAGGAAAATATGTAGAGATATCCTGTGAACTCTAGAAAAATAGAATCCAGGGACAGATAGGGTTCTGTTTCTAAATATACAGAGACCTAATAAGTGTATACATATACACTAATAAAACAATATACAGTAGAAAAAGTTAGATAGGTCTAACAGATTCACGCCAAATTGCGAAACACCAGTTTCGCACACAGACTTAAGCGATGGTCCCTGCAAACTTCTGAACAGGACCTGCTAACTACTAGGATATACGTTCATTTATTATTAGCACTTATCAGGGATATTTTCTCTTTATTTGATACATAGAAACATAGAATGTGACGGCAGATAAGAACCATTCGGCCCATCTGGTCTGCCCAATTTTCTAAATACTTTCATTAGTCCCTAGCCTTATCTTATAGTTAGGATAGCCTTATGCCTATCCCACGCATGCTTAAACTCCTTTACTGTGTTAACCTCTACCACTTCAGCTGGAAGGCTATTCCATGCATCCACTCATAGGTGTGCGCACGGGGTGTGCCGGGTGTGCCTGGGCACACCCTAATCCCTGCGGCATGCCTATGGAGTGAGACCGGCAGGGGAGATCTCAGGATCTCACCTGTCGGCTCATGCAGAGCCGGCGCTATCTGAGCGCCAGCTCTGCTCTAAGCCTCACTCCCCACTGCAGCATGGAGGGAGGCAGGAGAGGACCCGGGGAGCTCAACCAGCAGCTCCGCCGGGTTCCTTTCGCGAGATCTGAGCATTGCTGCGGGGCTAGAGTTCACTCTCCACTGGACCACCAGGGAAAGCAGCAGGAACAAGAATCCCCCCTCCCTACATAAGGTGAGAAGGGAGGGGGGATATTAAGTAATGTACCCCCACTTCCACACACATACAGCAGACACACATACAGCACCCTCACACACATACACCACACACACAGCACCTTCACACAAACAGCACACACACACATACAGCACACACACACATACAGCACCCACACACAGCACACACATACAGCACCCACACACAGCACACACACACATACAGCACCCTCACACAGCACACACACACATACAGCACCCTCACACACATACAACACACACATACAGCACCTTCATACACATACACCACACACACACAGCACCCACACACACATACAGCACCCTCGCACATACAGCACCCTCTCACACACAGCACCCTCTCACATACAGCACCCTCTCACATACAGCACCCTCTCACACACAGCACCCTCTCACACACAGCACCCTCACAAACACACACAGCACACTAACAGGACCCTAACAAACACACACACACAAACAGCACCCTCACACACACATCACACTAACAGCACCCTTACACACACAACACCCTCAAACCACCCTCACGCAGCACACACAGCAGTGTGTGTGTGTGTGTGTGTAGATATATATATATATATATATATCTACACACACACATACATATACACGCGGCGTGTGTTTGTGCTTTAGGGTGCACACCCTAATGCAATAGGCTGCGCACGCCTATGCATCCACTACCCTCTCAGTAAAGTAATACTTCCTGATGTTATTTTTAAACCTTTGTCCCTCTAATTTAAGACTATGTCCTCTTGTTGTGATAGGTTTTCTTCTTTTAAATATAGTCTCCTCCTTTACTGTGTTGATTCCCTTTATATATTTAAATGTTTCTATCATATCCCCCCTGTCTCATCTTTCCGACCAAACAGTGGGTATAACAAATAAACCACATTTCGTATTCAGGCTCTGGGGATTGCAAAACTTTGTTTTGCTTACACCACCTAGTGAAGGTTTCTGAAAACTTTTGAACAGAACCTTTTCATATTGTATACTTCAGTTTGTTTTCTAGCCTACATTTGTGGCGAAGGTCCATGTGTCTTTAGCACAGGACCGTTTTCATTCTCTGTATATACTTCTGTTAATCATTAGTTTATTTCATTGTTTATACCTTAGATATTCACTAGCATATATATATATTCTTTTTCTACTGTATATTGTTTTATTAGTGTATATGTATACACTTATAAGGTCTCTGTATATTTAGAAACAGAACCCTATCTGTCCCTGGATTCTATTTTTCTAGAGTTCACAGGATCTCTCTACATATTTTCCTATTTTGCACAGTCACCTATCAGAGAGTGCATGTACTTTAGTGTATTATTATTATTTTCTATCCCTACTTTTTTTTTATTCACTATGGGTACATACATTTCGATGCATATAGGGTTATTCACTAAAGTGAGAATTGTAGGAAATGCCAATTTCAAATTTAAAGGAACACTATAGTGTCAGGATTACATACATGTAGTTCTGACCCTATAGATCTAACAGGGCTATTTAGGTTGCTGACCCCTCTCTCCCTGTAGTGAAAAGGTGATTTACTCATATTTTATCTAGCACCACACACAAGTCTTCTTGTGGCTGGCACCGCCCCCTTGGCTTAAATCATCAAATTTTATGAAAGATTTGGGAGGCTATTGCACATGCACAGTAGAACAGGGCATCAATCCATCTCTATAGGAACATTCAGTGACTCCATGCAGAGCTGAATGTCAGGAGACGCTGAATGTCAGTGATGCACATTGTGCCACACTGACCCTGGAAGCACCTCTTAGCTAAGTGACTGTCACTAGAGGTGTTAACCCCTTAAAACCGGAGGGCGTACTATTACGCCCTATTCTAAGCGGCTCTAAACGCTGCAGGCAGGGCCGGATTAACATAGCGGCTGATGGAGCTGCAGCTCCAGGCCCAGGCCCAGGCCCATGGAATAGGCCCATTGATTTTAAAAAAAAAAATGCCCCCAAATTTTTTTTTCACACGGTGCACGGTGAAAGTGCACGAACGGCCCGGCGTTCGGTTGTTTTACTGGAATATGTTATACCCCAGATAGGAATCCCATGGAGCCCATTCGCATGAAACGGACTGTGTAAAGACTTTAGCTCCATGGTGATTAAACTGTATTCGTGTGGTCTGAGCGCCATTCGCTTAATAATGTGCGCTCAGACCTGAGCTATCTGGGGATATGTTAAATGTATGCTTTTAATGTTATGTGTCTCACATAGTGTATTTTCATAGTAATTCGTGTGTTAGTATCCCCACGTGCATAATGGCGATTTGCCTTTGTCTTGGGAGATAATTGAATTACTTCTCAATTATCTCCAAGGCAGAGGGGAGGAAGCCAGGATGCATTGTGGGAATATAATGTGACTGTGTGTCCTAATTGTCTACTTGTCTGTCCCTTGTCACAGTCTCCCATTTGGTCCCCTAGGGGAGTGTCCACCAGGTGGGAGACCTGCATAAATACTGGGCAGGTAGCCCTCATTAAACAGACCACTGCTTGACCTTTAACACTGAGCCTTGGATTTACTGAACGCTGATAGAGACTGATTGCTAGGAGTGTAAGCCGCTTGGATGCTTTTCCTATTCGTCTGCTAGCAGCGATTCGTATGGTTCCAGTTCGTGTGTTTGGAGCGCTATATTGGATGCCGTTCGGGAGTTTGGAGCATTCACTTATTGGCAGTTCGTGTGTTTGGTGTTTTACAATAGCTGTGCCTGCATCTCTGGAAAGGGGGACGATCGCCTAAACGTTTTTTACCCCTTGTGTGCAAAACGGTCCGTTACACTGGCAATACAAATGCTGGTATTTTTATCAGTATAAACAAGAGATTACTATGCAATACCAGCACTGGCCAGTAGGGGTCGCTGTGTGTGGAGACAGGCAGGGATAGGAAGTTCCAGCATATCCCTACCTGCCTATCTATACTCACTGATCTGCAGGGGTGCAGCTACAGAGAGTCCAGACAGCAACTCCCACCCTGCAGAGACAGCCTACAGCTCAGGGAAGTAAGGGATGGGGGAAAGGCTGCAAGGAGACATACACTGAGACACTAAGGGACACTGGGAGACATTATGGCAGACACTGAGACACTAAGGGACACTGGGAGACATTATGGCAGACACTGAGACACTAAGGGACATTGGGAGACATTATGGCAGACACTGAGACACTAAGGGACATTGGGAGATATTATGACACAGACACATGGGGACACAGTGTCCCTGGTGTCTCAGTGCCCCCTAGTCTTCCAGTGACCCCTAGTCTCCCAGTGCCCCCAGTCTGCCAGTGTCTCACTGTCCCCATGTCTCCTAGTACCTCCATGTCTCTCATTGCCTCAAGTGTCACAATGTCCCCATGCTAGTGTCCCTAGTGTCTGTGTCCCCATGTCTCCCAGTGCCCCCATGTCTCAATGTCCCCATGTCCCCCAGCTAGTGTCTGTGTCCCTGGTGTATGTGTCCCCATGTCTTCAGGTGTCCCCTATTTTTCCATTGTCCCCATGTGTCCCAGCCAGAGTCCCCTAGTCTCCCAGTGTCACTGGTGTCTCCGTGTCCCTAGGTCTCCCCGTGTCCCCAGGTCGCCCCGTCTTCCTAGTGTCCTAGTGACATGGGAACCCTGGGATACATGGGGACACAGGGAGACATGGGGCATTGAGACACTGTGATACATAGGATCACTGGGAGACCTGGGGACACGACACTAGGGGACACTGGGAAACATGGGGCACTGAGACACTGATACATAGGAACACAGACCTGGAGTAATCGACACATGGGGACACTGAGTCATGGGAGACATGGGGGCACTGGGAGGAATCCATCTATACAGAAGAATCAAACTAAGTAGTTTTTTGGTGATTTTACAGCATTTTCTCTTATGTCACTCCTTGTGATTTACATCATGTGATGTCAGCCATACATATTTAATTATGCAAATTAGTAAGGCCGGTATGTTTTTCCAAGAAAGGTGGCAATCCTAACTACTTTTCACATACTCTTAATTATGGAAACTTCAGTGGGATGTATGGGAACAAAACTTGTGTGGACTGGCTGACAATGAATATAGTTAAAGGGACACTATAGTCACCAGAACAACTACAGCTTATTGAATTTGTTTTGGTGAGTAGAATCGTTACCGTCAGGATTTTTGCTGTAAACACTGTCTTTTCAGAGAAAATGAAGTCTTTACATTACATCCTAGTGATAACTTCACTGACCACTCCTTAGATGACTGTTAGAGATCCTTCCTGCGTCATGGCTTCCTAAAATGCATCCAAACATTCAGTGTCTCCTCCCTCTGCATGCAGACACTGAACTTTCCTCATAGAGATTAATTAATTAAATTCATCTATATAAGGAGATGCTGATTGGCCAGGGCTGTGTTTGAATCATGCTGGCTCTGACCCTGATCTGTCTCTTTGTCAGTCTCAGCCAATCCTATGGGGAAGCACTGTGATTGGATCAGGCCACCACTTCTAATGATGTCAGCAGACTGCTTGTTTTTATGAGTCTAACAGCATGTAGAGTTACAGCTTCAGGCTTGAATATAGTAAGATTTTGCAATATTTATGGGGGCATGAGGGGCCCAGGGGGGCTAGATGGTGGTGTTATAGGGTCATGAATTCATGTTTGTGTTCCTGACCCTATAGTGATCCTTTAAGGTAATGCTGACTTTGGTCTCTCTAACACTGTGGCATGTTCCCTTTCTTCTACACTCACTACATACAGCTTTTCTCTGTCCCAGACCATATACCAGGAGCTTCTGCCTGCTAGTAAGAAGGTAAGGAGACAAGTGGACCAGCAAGTGCTAGGGGACAGTCCTTAGAAAGCGTTGAGTGAGTGCATCATTAGATGCATTTATGCCAAGCTAAGGGTGCTGTCTGCATAGTATGCCCTTAGTTGGCCAGCTGCATGATTGTCAGGCAGCCTGACATGCATTCATGCCAGGCTGGCCTTCTAATTCTTTGAGCAGACATGTCCTCTTTTTGGGCATGTTCGCCCCTTTTGGCAGGTTACGTGATTTGTGTCAGTGGCACACCCTTTTACCATGCCCATTGACTTCCTGCCTGACTGGACACTGCTGTTAGGGGTTATGGATTTACTTGAAAGATGAAAACATAAATTAGAGAGAGATTAGCCTAGGGTATGTGTTTTCTTATAGCTGCTGTTTTCTTTCTCTCTAGCACCATCCATCAGATACAGGATGCTTGGGAGTGTTTTATTGTTTTTGGTCGATATGATTCTGTAATTAGGCCCGTCATAATTGTCAGCACCAGGCCTACTGGGCTCTTAATCTGGCCCTGGCTGCAGGGGGTAATAGTACGCCCTCCGTTTTTTTGTTACTTACCCGAGGACGTTTCAGAAATTCTGGGAACCATGGATTACCTGCCCCCTAGGAACATAAAGAAAGACAAGAGATACCTACTGCCTTAAATGGCGTGACGATCCTGAGACCAATGGACGCTAGACGACCAGGGACGCATGTCCCCCCGCTTGGACCGCCCTCCCCCGGAACCGGAAATGACGCTATGGCGTCGGAACGTAATGACGCAGACGTTCCGACGGTGAAACCGGAAGTAGGAAGCCGCAATTAGAACGGAAAAGAATGGGCGCCAATTTTAACTATTTAAACCAAGATGCCTTGAATTGGATATCACTTCGGATGAAGGCAAATACCCGAAACGCGTCAAGTGTTTGGACTCTCATTTTGGGACTTTTTATTTTACCCTTTGATGTATGGTTTTAATTCACTTCAAGATTTGAAGAATAAAAGCTTGTTTTACCCCCAGTTGTTTTGCGTCCTGGAGGTTCTACATTTAAAGAGGAAGAAAGTTCCCAGTGGAGGTCCTTGTCTATATATTCAAGGCATCTAGTTTGAGCCAGCTTTTTAAGTGGCTCTATTTATGTGAGTGTGATTTATATCCATTGTATATTTATTTTATCAGACTATACTACTCTATGTTTGTCTATCTGGTTGTTTTCCAGATTAATTGACTACAGAGTGGGTAGTATTTTATTATTTTTGTGTGCTCTCACCTATTTATTATTCGTTTTTATACCTACAATGTAGATAAGGTATAGCAATATTACATGGCTATACCTCTCCAATAGAAGTCATACACACGAATTCATGAAAAAAACAGCTAATGAAGAAAAGCATGGAAGTAGGCTTAAGGATTACGGAGAGGATACCTCCAACAGATGTTAAAGTAAAGGATCTGTTCGGTCTGATTTATTCTGTTAATTATGTTATATGTTCAATGTGAAACTTTCTTGACCATGTACATGTGATTGGAGATATGGAGTCGATTTGATTGGTTACATTAGAAACCTCTAGGAACACTATGCCAGCACAGAAACCTTTCTTCCTACGGGACTTCATTGTAAACACTCAGATATCCATGTATAGGCAATGGAAATGCACTCAATCCCTCGTCCTGGAATCCTGGGTGCAATAGAAGCTGGATAAGCCCCAGTACCAAAGGGACCAAATATCAGATTTAAATGTAAAAAATAATCCAGGCACTCCAAGGTATTCCAACAGATAGGCAATTTTTATTGGACCCAAGCACCAAAAAGCAACGTTTCGACCCCTTAGGGCCTTTGTCAAGCTTTGTCACGTTAGCTTGACAAAGGCCCTAAGGGGTCAAAACATTGTTTTTTGGTGCTTGGTTCCAATAAAAATTGCCTATCTGTTGGAATACCTTGGAGTGCCTGGATTATTTTCTTCATTGTAAACACTATGATACTACAATGTGATTGTTACTACCTGACTCAATGTTAATACCAAGTCTGATATATGTGTCAAACATAAATAAAGAAGAAAAAGAAAAAAGAAGAAAAGAAATGCATGTTCTGTTTATGTTTCCCAAATCCCTTCTTTTTATGCACAATGATACATTGATCGTTAGGACTAGATTACCTTCAGGAGGTCCATGTTGCTGGATAATTCCTGGGCTAGGTACCCTGTGGTTCCCAACACTGACACAGCTATAGTTTGATTGTGCGGTCTCTTTGACTGCTGATGTAGATGTTGTGGTGCTAGGAATTTCTCCAAGGCTTTCTGTTGCCCTCACTTCTAGAGAATTAAACAGAAGTTGTCACTATCGAAGTACAATATTAATTAAACCAGTACAAGACATTGTTGAGTGTAAAAGACATTAAAGCCATTTTGTTTGACAGGCAAACGAAAGATTGATTGCCTGAAATGCTTAGATATGTCAACAAATGGAAGTCAACCATGTAAGGCTCAGTTTGTAGATCTGTGACATGGGCCTTGATCTAATTGTTTTGGATAGGATTTTCAAATATTCACAATCTAATAGAAAAAACTTTTCAAGTGATTTATCTACAAAAAGTCCCATAGATTTTAATAGTGGTAGATCATTTTGAAAAGATTTTTCTAATAGATTATTATTTTAAAACACCTATCCAAAAGAATGAAATTGAGGCCATGGTTTGAACACCCAACTTATGTTGGATTTAGATTCAGAATTCTGGTAAAATATATATATATATAAAGTATAGCAAAATATAAAATAGAAAACTCTCAAGTGTCATAATCTAAGGGCTCTACTGAATATGAGAATTGCCCAGAGCATCTCAGTCCCTGTCATCCATAACTATGAGTTTGCAGTATTTGACATGAAGAAATAAAATGCAAGATTCCGGGGGCCTGGTTTTGAAAGACAATATCTGAGAACATTAGAGCATGACAAACCTTTGCTAATCCCTCCTCTTGCATCTCCAGAAAGTTGCATGCAGTTTGCAGGGGCTTTTGCAGATTGATCACTCCCATCCCCACAATTATCAACATTTGTGGAGTCACACACTAGGCTGGATGGGATACATTTCCCATTCTGACAGGGGAAGTATGGCTCAGAGCTGCATTCCGAAGTGTTAAATCCTACAAAATAGAAATACATCTTAAAAGACCTTAAAGCAAATAGTGTAACATTAAAACAAAAAAATATGTAATTTGCTCTCTGGGTCAACTGGGATTACTTGTTTGCGGTCTTGAGGTCCTTGGGGATGAGCTAGTACATGCAAGGCTGGATAAAGGCCCTCTACACAACCCCAACGGCTAGAATATGCGTAATTCGGGCACACACAGAACCCTTCCCGATTCTAAATGGCACGAGACAGAGATGCCCCCTCTCTCCCATGCTCTTTGTCCTTGCCCTTGAACCCTTCCTGAACGCAGTACGACACAACCCACAGATATATGGGCCCCAAGTGGGAAGGGACAAACATTCAGTGGCGGCATACGCCGACGACCTACTGTTCTTTGTGACAAAACCCAAAATATCCCTGCCCATGATCATGACGGAATTCGAAACATACAGCAACATCTCAAACCTTAAAATAAAGTACACGAAATCCACCATACTAAACATCTCCGTACCCCGCAAAATAGAGAGAGGGCTGCGCAAAAATCACTCCTTCACATGGGCGGAGTCATCGCTGAAACACTTAGGGATCTGGATAACAAAAGACTTAGCACACCTATACCAAGTGAACTTCCATCCCATACTGAACAGGGTACGTAGGGACTAAGAAGACTGGTCCAGGCATCACCTGGTTTGGCAGGATAGGAACCATAAAGATGACACTCCTACCGCGACTACTCTATCTTTTTCAGGCACTACCCATCACCATCCCTGACGCTTTCTTCACTTCCCTTCGCACAATGGTACTACGATTCATCTGGCGCAAACCCAAAGCCAGAATTAGCCACGACACCCTCGCACGGCCGAAAGTGGAAGGCGGACTAGCCCTGCCAGACATTAGACAATATTGCATGGCGACACACATCCACAGAATAACTGAATGGGCCAAACAGGGAGTCTCCAAACTCTGGAAGACGGTAGAAAGAGCGCTAGTGGAACGACCGGTAGAAATACTACTGTGGTTGGACACGCTCCACTGCTCGAGACTAGCAGCCCCACACCCACTAATTAAAGCCACAAAACATATATGGCACTTACTGCCGACCAAACTGGAGCTTACCTCCTTCCCATCCCCACTATACCCAATAGTCCACAACACAGTGTTCCCCCCAGGACTATAGGCACGAGTGTTTCAAACGCGACTCCCCCAACTATGACGCGCGACACGAGATAGCACCATCAAACCATTGACAGATCTCCCAAACCCCACCACACTGACAGCTCACACAATTTATCAACTCCATGCCGCAGACGCATATGGTCTTAAGAAAACTCACGGACTTCGAGGCAATATGTGTAGATCACGAGACCATGGAAGGGGACTCTCATTCCTCTACCAATTCCTCATGCAATGCAGGAGACTACCCGCCCTGAACTATATGGGAAAATGGGAGACCGCCATGGACATCACACTCACACCCATGCAATGGTCCAAAATCTGCACCCTGACCCTACACTGTGCACCATCCAGTGGGACGCAAGAAATGGTGTATAAGTTGTTAGCTCACTGGTATAGGATACCACAACTACTACACACTATAGACCCTGCGGTGACCGACTGCTGCTGGAGATGCAAACAGGCCACAGGCTCACTACTACACACCTGGTGGGAGTGCCACCTGATAAAACTATACTGGACCTCAATCCACAAAATCTTACAGAAATTCTCGGACAACCCCCCACCACTGCAACCAGCAGCACTACTCTTACACCACACCAAACTCTGCACATCGATCTACAAGAAATCACTCACTATCAGAATTCTTAATGTAGCGAAAGGCCTGATTCCAACGCATGGTTCCAACGCATGGAAGAACAACGCACAATGGAGGAGCTCACCATGTTAGCTGAGGGTAAAACCCAGACATACATGGCAATCTGGACTCAATGGATCCTCACAGTTGCTTTAGAAGACTTCCGCGCCCTGTGGCAATGACTCCCGCATCACCTTCCTTCCCCTCCCCCCCCCACTGCCCCTCTCAGTGCCCACCCTCAGCCAGACTCAGGACCGCGGCCGGAGGGGAGCGCCAATGCCCGGAGGGTTGGTAGGATAGCTGCCACCGGACACTTGGAGGTGCACTGTACACAGACTTAGGCACCATTTACGACCTCTTGAACCAGTTATTTTGGATGTTATTACCCTGAAGGGACTTGCGTATTCATTAATACCTGCAAGTACCAATACACCATGATATTGATGAAAATGAGTGCCTGCGTGCACAATCTATACACTATCTGACAGCTACAGGTACCTGCGTGTACCAATTGATGGTCCATAAAGACAACTGAAACTGAAACAACCTGAATCCAACAAAACAGAAAAACCTCAATGAAATTTAATTTACAAAAAAATAAATAAATATGTATTTGCTTCAGCAAGTTTGACCAATGTTGCAATCAACATTTGGCAAGAAAAAATACATCAAAGTAAAACACATATAAAATATAGCTTGTGTAAGCATAAAACAAGACAATTTGGATTAAGTCAACTTTTTACTTCTGTGTTAATGATAAAATTTTACCCCCAAAAAACAAGCTATTACATGCAAGCACTTTCACTCCATAACATTGACCTACACGCCTCAGACATCCTAATGTTTGGAAAGAAGGTCTAGTGATCCCACGATTATATTTATTAACTCATCAGCCCTACATTAGGCAGGCCCACCTTATAAAGAAAGAGTCCAGTGGATGCCCAATAATTAATACACTACACACAGGGTAAGGAAAGGTCAAGAGAGGGGCCATATTGTCGACCTCTCATGGTTACAGGGTAGAAAGGTCCACATTTTGTATATATACTGCATCTTAAAAAGGGCACTCTCAGGCACATAATAAATACATGCAGGTTAGTGTCCCGATTATGTTGACTAGAACGTAGGGGTGGTATCCCTGGTTATATGGTTTGACAAACACCATGGCTTTTCATTGCACCTAGATACCAACTCTTTCTAGACCACATGGACAACGTGAAAATACACTTCAACAATATCAGTGTGAGTTTCAACCGACCTGGATGATGGCAATTGGCTGAGAGCATTGAAGGCAACTTCAACTGGCTGAGCTCTGCAAATGTAAAAAGTACCAGCTAACCTTACTGCACATGAGGGAAATTATTGATAATTTTTCTTATTAGTTGAGTTTAGTATAAGACTTGATTCAATTATCTCCTAACTAGAGGGGAAGGTTTATTGTATTCTGTGTGGAAGTGTCCTGGACCTGAGAGCCAATGGTCCAGCCCCTGGAATATGTTACTGTAAACCCTGTTCATTGTACTTGCATAAAAATCTGTCCAGTTGGCCTGAATAAACCAATTTTGTTGTACCTTTCATCTAGTTCAGGATGATGTTTGGGTATATGATTGACTGCTGTGGAAGACTACTTGTATGCTGCACTCTAGCTGGAGAATATTCATGTGAATCCCTGAACTGCAAGCTATAATCAGTCATTTCTTAGCAATCCGGGAGGAACCAAATATGAATGGGTATCTGACATACCAGCATTCATAACACTGTGGATACCAAAATTGGGCCCCTCCACAGCCAAAACACCCGCATCGAGGCTTGTGGCCTACCTCAGCAAGGACTGTGGAGAGACGACCGCTCTCCAAGCCCTTAACTGGGCAGAGTTTAGCTAGTAACGAACTAACACCCCTCCTCCCCACCCCTGTGGACGGGTGGGGGTCATCCCGGTCCCCCCCTCGACTTACCCCATGTATTTCTGCCGACTACAGGCTGCCAATGTGTTGCAAGCTCTCCTAAGATGGTGGATGCTTCTACGCAACATGTGCCTAACTCGACAGCCCTGGACTACCATGCATCTGAGCGCCTGCTTACTAACATGGACAAGCTCTTTGAAAGCTTCTTTGCAAAGCCGTCAGCAAGTGCCATGGTGTCACTGACTCAGAACCGGGAGAGGGAACAAAGTCGAGGCCGAGAGGAGGTGAGCAGACCTTCTCTGGGCACAACCCTTCACCAAGCAACAAGTCCCTCTACAGTTGCCCCGCCTAGGCTGAGGGCCACAGGGGATACAACCCACCAGTATCTACCATAGAGGCTGAAGAACCGTTGCTGCTGGTGGCGCTGTACCACCCCCAACAGGTAAAGACTCAGCCTCATGTCAGAGCCCCCAAGACTGTGGCCCTATGATGCCGGCCTTCACAACGGTCGAGGCTGTGGTGGAGAAGCAGTTGGTCTGCCTAGCTGCCTACCACAACAGTCTCCACACGCTCCCGATCGTGGGGATAGGCAGACACTGGACTTCCTTACCATGGCTATTCGCCAGTCACGACCTACTGAAACCTGTTAACAGGTTAACCTGTTTTATGTTTTACACTAATCATTTCAATATTTGATATCCAATGCAGCTAAACCCAGGGAGTTTAGTCTAGGGGGAAACATTTATATTATTTCTGTTATTGCACGCTGATCCTATGTACTTACGCTACTCAGTAGCAAGATATTTATATAGTACTCTTTGCACAGTATTTATTTTTGTTTAAAAAACAAGCCAAATGCCTGGCTGTGTGAAATGCTTACACGCCATGTGATTGGGTGACATAACACCCAGCTAATCACAAGGCTATTTAGACACTGACCTCTAGTTAGGCACACTCGACCTGCCTTGTCTTTCACTAATACTTACTCCATAGAACAAAGTTTAAACGTGACACCCAGCCTGTGAACTACAACATGTACTCAGTATCTTTATTAATAAGCCCCTTGTGGCGGAACCAACTTTGCAACTGTGCACTGGAGAAGCGTGGTTGCTCGCCTGCTCCCTTTAGACTATGGCCCGGTGGTTAAAACCTTTTCTTTTCCCTGCTGAAAGGCTTATTCGTGCCTTTCTGCCGGGGAAAGTACCGATCGATGGACCACCTGAGAACTGGAGTGTGCCGTCAATTGACCACCCAGAAGCTGCGGTTAACCGCAGCTTAATTGATGAATGCTGGGTGACCTTTGTTCGTTTGCCGAACACGTGGCAGCGGCCATTTTACCTCCCGAACGGCCAGCGGTGTTCAGCGCCAAAACTATGTAACTGAAAACGGACACTTATTTGCGCGAACACCGCTTAGCCGCCAGCCTCCTTACCTCTGCATTCGAGGTGGAACCGACTGACTGTTCATTCGGTAGTTTAACCGTATGAACAGCATCACCCCAAATAGCCATGCCATGGAGCCTATTCGTGTAACGAAAGACTATGGGAAGGACTTTGGCTCCATGGCGATTGAACTGTATGTTTGTATGTGATCTGAGCACCATTCAGTAATAATGAGCGCTCAGATCTAAGCTATCTGGGGATTTGTAGAATGTGTATGTTTTATGTACTAAATGTAACCGTATGTAATTTTATGTCTTTTACTGAAAATGTATGTAATGGAGTTTTGTCTCTGTCCTTGGAGATAATTGGATTACTTCCCAATTATCTCCAGGGCAGAGAGGAGGGATTGTAATGCATTGTGGGATTGTTGAAATGTGTAAGTTTGTGATTGGTCCTTTTATCCTTTGTGTCCCATTCTCCCATCTGGTCCCCTAGGGGAGTGTCCACCAGGTGGGATACCTGCATAAAAGCCGGGCAGTTAGCCCCAATAAACCAGATTCTGCTTGACCCTCAAAACGAAGTGTCGTCTCGTTATTGGGGGATTTGGATTGTATGCCGATTGCCAGGAGTGTAAGCTGATTGTGTGCTTTTCCTGTTCTGCTGTTTCCCGGGTTCGTGTGTTTCCTGTTCGGGAGTTGGAGGATTCGTGTAGTTTGCAGTTCGGGAGATTGGTGCTTACAGTAGCTGCCTGTGCATCGGCAAAGGGGAATATCGCCTAAACGGTTTTTAACCTCTTGTGTGCACCCCTCATATTGCAATGCTAGCCACTGCATACTAATCCATGTTAGTGCTAATGGCTAGTATCTTACTCTGGCAGTACGCTTGAACTACGCAGCACAATGCTTTACCCAAATCTTGTTTACTCTCTATAACTAAAAATGAGGCTTATCTCTTTGAGATTATGCATTCACAGTTAAGTAACATGGCTTACACACATGTCTCTGCTCATGTATATTATTTTTGCTTGTGCATCTTAATTATTCTTAATCCTGGGCAACATAGCTCACTTATGAGTCACTCGGTTCTCACACTCATATGCCTCAGCACTTACACTTTAACTTGCTCTCATTGCTTACTTACTATTGCAAAATAAGTGCAGTTCTAAACCTGCTTTGAGTGCTACTAAATTGCCCATTTACCTTTAATATTAAAAAAGAGGCTGATATACCCAAGGTTATAATGTATGCTGCAACTGTATACCTGAAATGTACCCACCTGCTATAACCCATTTTCTTTATTCTGTAACGTTATACTTTGCCTCAATAAAAGAAAGATTGACAACAACAAAAAAAAAGCTATTTGGACAAACCAAAAAGGCACAAAGATAGTAAAAATATTATGTATATATTTCGCAGTACACTGATAGGTGCATTTTTGTGCAATTTGGTTCACAGGTGAAGTCAGAAGTAACCAAAAAGGGGGTGGGGGGGGGATAGGAGGAGCAGTTAAAAAAAAAAAAGTCTACATTTTTATCAATTTAAAATTTAGTGGTTGCCCCCTAGTCATCAATCATCTTTTTTTTCCCCATCACTCATTATTTTTGGCTCCCCAGATTCAACTTCCATATTCATGTTTCAACACAAATGCATAAGTCTACTGAATGATATCTCCCTGCTAAAATTTTGCAGCAAAAAGAACAATCTTACTAAACATTCCCACCTTTAAAACTCCAGCTTTCACTTTGCTTTGACATGGTATTTTCTGACATTTAAGAACATAACTTTCTGAGCATTAGGAACAGGATTTCCCGCTCTCTGTCAAAAATAAATAAATAAAAATATTCCAGAGCGTATTCATCCTTAAAACTTGCAAACTAAGCTACACATTTAAATATTCAAACATTTAAAGATTTCTGAACGATTTCAGTTTATGGTTGCACTTACCTAGTCGAAATGAAGTGAAATCTCCCACAAAGTCCACCCTGGGTTGCTGGCCCCTAGTTACCAGACGTAAAGTTAAATAATTACCAGTAGACAGGACTGGCCTAGGGATGGTCTTTCCACAAAGAGGAGTTCCTAACGGTTCGGAATTCTGGTCTTTTCCATCATAAAACTGAACATAAGACCCAGAATTGCAAGGGTCATGGAAGACATGTGGACCTTTGGTCGTCAAGGTGGAGGAAGGGCCTCCAGCGTTATTCACTCCTGGTCCAGATGTGGGACTGTTTGACATGCGCAATAGGCTGTATACCAGGAAAAAGCGAAATTGGAACTGAACTTTGTCCTTCAGAGCAGATGCTTGCATGGTTAGTCGGCAGTCAGTACCCATTGATACAAAGTAGTATTTTCTGGAGTCTCCGTGTGACTTTACTATCATTCCATCGCTTTTGATCGTTTGCCCGCAAAAGTCTACCAGATTCACTGTGGGAGCCAAACAAACACAAACCACATGATCATAATGGCAACATAAAAACTAGAGCGTACTTCTAAGAGAACAATGATGCTTGGAAATTACAAATGAGAATACACAATTATCCGGTTTTCAGGAATAAATTAGCTCATACAACCGAGTAAACTGCATTGGAAAATTCACTTGCTTTCTGGTTTATAATGCAGGTGAACGTCATTTTCTTTATTTGCACAATAAAATAGTACCTACTATGACTGGTTTTATTTGTCCTGTTTTCAAGTGTAAATTAAGGATTTATTTAAAATCATGACCTTTACTTTCTGGCTGCAATATCAGAATGTTTATTAGGTACCCTGCTGTGTAACTTGATGGATAGTTATGGTCAGCGTAGCGAGTAGTTATAAAAAGGAAAACGGTTTAAAGATAGGAAGCTACTAATTATTACTGTGGCATCACACAGGGTGTCTAGGAAGGAAGCAGGCCAGATTAAGAGCCCATTGAGCCTGGTGCTGACAATTATTATGGGCCTAATTATAGAACCGTATCGACAGAAAACACTAAAACAGTCATACTTCCCAAGCGTTATGTATCTGGTGGAGGTGGTGCTGGAGGGAAACTCACAGGATACAGCCAGGGCCAGATTAAGAGCCCAGTGGGCCTGGTGCTGACAGTTATGATGGGGCCTAATTACAGAATCCTATCGACCAAAAACAATAAAACAGTCATACCTCCCAAGCGTCTTGTATCTGATGGAGATGGTGTTGGATCGAAACTCAAAGGATGCAGCTATAAGAAAACACATACTCTATGCTAATTTCTCTCTAATTTATGCTTTCATCTTTCAAGTAAATCCATACCAACTAACAGCAGTGTCCAGTGAAGCAGGAAGTCAATGGGCGGGGTAAAGGGGTTTGCCACTGATGCGAATCACGTGACCAGAACTGCCAAAAGGGGCGAACATGCCCAAAAAGGGGGCATGTCTGTCCAAAGAATTGGAAGGACAGCCTGGCATCAGTGTCCCTATGTATCACAGTGTCAGTGTCCCCATGTCGCCCAGTCCCCTAGTCTCCCAGTGTCCTCATTTCTCACCGTGTCCCCATGTCTGTGTTTCCTGTGTCACTAGGATACTAAGGGACACAGAGACATGGGGACACCGAGACACATGGGGGCACTTGTGGAAACAGACATTGGAGACACTGGAAGACATGGGGACACAGACATTTGGGGACACTGGGAGAAATGGGGACACAGACACTAGAGACATAGAGACATGGGGACACATACACTGGGCGACATGGGGACACAGACATTTGGGGACACATACACTGGGCGACATGGGGACACAGACATTTGGGGACACTAAGACACTAGGGACACTGAGACATGGGAACACAGACACTGGGAGACTAGGGGACACTGGGAGACATGGGGACACTGGAACATTAGGGACACTGGCTGGGAGGCATGGGGAGACAGACACTTGGGGACACTGAATAATTTGGGGACACTAGGGACACAGACACTAGCACATCTTGATCCATTTAGCAGTGTTTCAACAATCTGTATACAGAAACTACTCGTATAGCCCCAGCATATTATTTATAACAATGTAAACCTGCTGTATTAAATCTACCTTAGCAACAGCACCACGCGGCACGGTTACTAGGCCCAAACATACACGTACACACACGCACAGGATCCTCACACGCTCAACAATATCACAACGTCGCACACATGAAATTAAATCAAAAACTCACCAAAGACTATACACTTATCAATGTAACTATTATTCAAACCATACAATTATCCACACTATTAATCCACATAAACTAACCGATCACATAACATTTCAACAATTTCGTCTCTACAGTCAGTGGTTATGGTACGGTTAGTAACTATTGTACAGTTTAGACAATTATGATTTTAAAGTTACAATATCAGTTAGTACACATGCAAGGTTAAACAGTAATTTTAGTATTTTTCACGTAATATCAGTAGTTATGGTACAAGTCAGTGGTTATGGTACATGTCAGTGGTTATGGTACCGTGCACTATTTTACACTATACACACAATTTACACGTCCGCTGTAGCGGAGAGCTGATTTTCCACAGCTGAACTCCACCAATATATTAAGAGGATGCAGGAACAAGTAATAAATCCAAGAGAATATCCAGCACAATCAGCAATACAATCCAATATTATCTCATCACCTTTCCCAATCACTGGACGACGCACAGTATCAGGAGTAGAACTGAAGTTTAATGGCAACATTCCTGCTTTTATGAGATTCTCCCATGCAAGGGAGGGATTCACCACAATTAGTACAGTAACCAATCCCATAGACGTAACCTCCCACACATCTCCTCCCCTTAGGTTAGCAATTAACACAATTATACAAGGCATACTTTTCCCCACTTTTTAGATGTACCCCAAATATGGGTGATATACCATTAAAAACCAGGTACCCCCTGGTAGCCCTGATCTGGGTGAGAAACATATCCAAAAATCACCCAGATAAGACCAGGGGTTCGGGAGTTATGGGAAGGTAAAGTTTTGACCGACCGCATGGGTAAGTTAGCCGAAAATAGTTCCATGAGATCTGGCCCTTCGGTCGGTCTCCATTCGTGCCCCAAAAGTCCCAAAAGGCTATACCATCCATAGTGAAGTCGGTAACCGGATAAATCCCCTAGTTCGTGGTTTTCATCCTACCGAACGACGGCCGTTCATGTGTTTTCATCAGTGTTTTCTGAAGCCCTGGAGGTCTTAGCGGTGTTCGGCTAGTCGAGTGTCCGTTTTGAGTTCCAGACACTCGACGACCAAACACCGCTGTTCGCGGGTTTAAGATGGCTGCCGCCACGTGCCAACAATAAACGAAATGGATGGGACAGCCAAAAAGGGATTCTGCTACATCCGCTAAACGGCAGAGCTCAAGCTTTCTAGCAGGACATACAATTCACCAATTACAACGTATTTAACAACATTTAGAGCAAACCCAACTACTCTAATTGACCAGTACCTCGAGAACTATCGAACTATTTACACCAGGATTCGGTTAGTCTACGCTGCCCAAGCACCACATATAGCGAACTAGTGGGCGGAATTTACAACAGTACCCATTTAGTCTATCTACTCTATTAATAGTCTAGTGGCTGAATTTACAACAGAGCACACTTAGCCAAGATAGGTTGAGAGCTAGCAGTTGGAATGTACACCAGAATCTGCTTAGTCTCGCCGGCCTCCCCGACCTAGCGACCGAAATTTACACCTAGACACACTAGTCAAGACAGGACACCGGTGTCCGGCATAAACTATTTACGCCAAGATTTAGCCTGACCCAAACCACCTATATTAGACGGGCTGACTACAGAACGTCTAATTTCCAGATAAGCGGTGCATCTTCGCTTCTTCCCTCCAGAGGGAGGGGGCAATCCAATAACCAGTTCCAAATATAAAACCCCTAGTGGGCCTACCGCTCTAACGGTATCAGTCTTACCTCTTAGTTCCTGGACCTGGGTTCACACTCATCGATGGGACACCCCGGTACTCACTGCGTAGAAGCCGATGATCCCTGGGACAACAGGCCAGTGGCGCTGAGACGAAGGGAGGACCACGCAGTAGAAGTCCAGGGGTGCAGCCGTGGAGAACGTTGGTAAAAAGTTTACCGTCTCAAACCTCTGCGCCAGCTTCCGTGTGATGAGGTTCCCGCACCCAATGCACCAAAAATGTTACCGGAGGAATAACAGGAACAAACCACAGAAGCCACACATAGAGATATGGACACAAGTCTTCAAGAAGTACCAGGTCTTTTATTTACACACCGATTGGGTCTCACACTGAACTTGTGTTCAAAAGGTATGAGCCCAGAGCATAGTTTGCACAGGCTATTTATTAACAATAACTCCTCCCATTCATAGCTCCACTCACACATACCCTTAGACCAATCAGTGAACAGGATATTCAGGATCACCTAATATGGGCAGACGGTATGACTCCTTTTAAGAACAAAGGAATGTGACTACAGTTGATGCACATGCTCAGTACATTGATGACAGTATCTTAGCTACATGTAACTAACTAACAGATACAACAAACACCTGTACTTGTATATGCCACATGGAGATTTCAGGCCCAGGGCCGTCTTTAACGCGGGGCAAACGGGGCAGCTGCCCCGGGCCCAGTTTCTCTTGGGGGGCCCGAGGCACCTGCCCCGTGGGCCCCGCTGACCCCGGCGGGCGGGTGGCCGGTCGGGCGGGCAGGAAGGCGGGCGCGCGAGGGAGCACTCACTGCTTCCTCTTCAGCTCCCTCGCGCACCGCACTGATGCCGGAGCCGGAAGAAGACGTCATCTTCCGGCGCCGGCATCCCTACGTGGCGCGCGAGGGAGCTGAAGAGGAAGCAGTGAGTGCTCCCTCGCGCGCCCGCCTTCCTGCCCGCCCGACCGGCCACCCGCCCAGGAGCCCAGCAGCACCACTGGACCCCAGGGAATCGCCCCAGCACTCCAAAAGGTAAGGAGGCTGGGGGTATTACATAAAAAAAAAAATGTGTGTATGTGTGTGTTTGTGTGTTAGTGTATGTGTGTGTGTGTGTGTGTTTGTGTGTGTGTTAGTGTATGTATGTGTGTGTTTGTGTGTTAGTGTATGTGTGTTAGTGTGTGTGTTAGTGTATGTGTTTGTGTGTTAGTGTATGTATGTGTGTGTTTATGTGAGTTTGTGTGTTAGTGTTTGTGTGTTAGTGTGTGTGTGTTAGTGTATGTATGTGTGTGTTAGTGTATGTATGTTTGTGTGTTAGTGTGTGTGTGTTAGTGTGTTAGTGTGTGCGTGTGTGTTAGTGTGTGTGTTTGTGTGTGTTAGTGTATGTGTTTGTGTGTTAGTGTATGTATGTGTGTGTTTATGTGAGTTTGTGTGTTAGTGTGTGTGTGTGTTAGTGTGTGTTAGTGTATGTATGTGTGTGTTAGTGTATGTATGTGTGTGTTTATGTGTGTTAGTGTGTGTGTTTGTGTGTTAGTGTATGTGTTTGTGTGTTAGTGTATGTGTGTTAGTGTGTTAGTGTGTGTGTTTGTGTGTTAGTGTATGTGTGTTTGTGTGTTTTGTGTGTTAGTGTATGTGTGTAAGTGTATGTGTGTGTGTGTGTCAGTATGTCTGTGTGTGTGTGTCAGTATGTCTGTCTGTGTGTCAGTATATATGTGTGTGTATATCTGTGTGTGTCAGTATGTGTATATGTGCTCGTATGTCTGTCAAAGGCCAGTATGCGTCTGTTAGTGCATGTGTATGCATGTGTCAGTATATCTGTCTGTGTGCCAGTATGTCTGTGTGTGTGTGTGTCAGTATATCAGTCTGTGTGTCTCAGTGTATGTGCCTGTGTGTGTGTGTCAGTATTTCTCAGTGTATGTGGGTGTCAGTATATCTGTCAGTGTGTGGGTGTCAGTATTTCTGTCAGTGTATGTGTGTCAGTATGTTGATCAGTGTATGTGTCTGTGTGTGTGTGTCAGTATGTCGGTATATGTGTCTGTGTGTCAGTATGTCTGTATATGTGCCTGTGTCAGTATGTCTGTCAGTACGTCTACCAGTGTATGTGTCTGTGTGTGTGTCAATATATGTACCTGTGTCAGTGTGTCTGTCAGTGTATGTGCCTGTTTATCTGTATGTAGTCAGTGTATGTATCTGTGTATCTGCTTGTGCGTCAGAGTGTGTACCTGTGCATCTGAGCCGCAACTTTAAATACAAATACACCCCTCCATTCAAACTTCAACACTACATATAAAACACACTCCTGCATTGAAACGTCAACACTACATACAAGCACACTCCTACATTCAAAAACAAACACTACACATAAATGCACACTTGCATTCAAACTCCAGTACCACATACAAACACATTCACACAAACATACTCCATACAAACACATGCTTACATTCAAACATACTAACATGGCTCAGTGCTAAATACAACCCTGCAAGCATGGGAAATTGGTAGAGTCCCAGCTGTCAAAGCATTGTTGGAGTTGCACGACAGATGGGGTTCTACCTTTAGTCCAACCTTGCAATTGGGGGTCCCAATAAAATTCATTCTACTTTAGTACCGCCACTGCGTTGGGATGGATGCCGTGATTGCATACCAGGGAGTGAGGGGCGAGAGCGGCAGGGCACAGGGGGCCCAAGCAAACACTTGCACAGGGTCCATTCGTTATTAAAGACGGCCCTGTTCAGGCCTACTAAATTT